GAATATATGTTCGCTTTCCCGAGCTGAGTCCAGGAGTTCTCTCACTAAAGTTAAGAGTTCTCTCACTAAGAGGTCTCTCCAGGAGTAAAGAAAACCAGGGAAAAATTTCCCAAAATTCCCTCAGAATTTTCGGAATATGTTAACACATATGGTGGAACATGTGCATATTGTCCCACGCTAAGCTGAAGACAGGAATCCCCTCAGTTCATAATGAGGATCACAACACTGATTTTGAAAAAGAAGTGTATGAAAATTAGTTGTTCATGTACATAACTGTCACTAGCACAGCTTTTCACAACAACTTGTTACTAGTGAAGTTGGTGATAATCGCTCAAGAGTGTTCTGCAGATACAAAACACATCCGCTGACGCCCTCCTGGCCGTGATAGTAGCTGCTAGGGTTAGAAAAAGAATACAAAACTATCTCGGGAAGACCGATCCTGTGGAGAGTGAAATCGAGGAGGTTAACTCTATCGATTGTAAAATTGATTAACCAGGTCGTTCACAGGTGCTCTCGGACCCGGAAAAATCCGCGCAGATTTATTTTGATGATATTGCGACAATGCGAGTGTAAGTCATATGACGATATTTATATAACTGAAGATCGTCACAGTATACAAAGGTTATAGATGATGAACTTGATGACTAAGTAGATGACACGATAGAGCTTTAGTAAATGTAGTGAAATTAGGAACAACAATAACAACAACAAAAACAAAAACAACAAAAACAACAAAAACAACAAAAACAACAAAAACAACGGAAACAACAAGATCAACAGAAACAACAAAAACAAAAATGACTAAAAAAACAAAAGCAGAACGAACGACAATACCACGATTAAATAAGAACCGAGTCCACTGGCTTAACGCTGAGATATACCAAAACACAGTTGCGAAGTTTAGAGACATACGCGATGTCACAATAGATTTGTGGATAGTATTTTCTGCAAAACTACCGGACTGTGATTACTGTTGTTCATTGGGAATTGTATTCATCTAATTTTAACTGCTCTTAGAAGTCCGAGCAGATACATCGTTCAGTTGAAAATATATGTTGACTTACCTCAACTGAGTTCAGGAGTTTCATCACTAATTATAGAAGTTCAAGTATACAGAAACCACAAAAATTTCCCAAAATTTCCTCAGAATTCTCATATTGTCACCAGCACATGTAGCAGACCATGTGCATATCCCCCGTCCACACTGATGTCGGTTTAATTCTTCTCGTCTCAGCTACTCATCAGCAGAATCCCAGCGATCAGTGCGGAAGGCTTGCGCTGCTGCTGGAATTGAACTCAGAAATGTGCGTGCTCTCTTGCATACAAAACTGACCAGTGTTGGAAAACATGTTTTTTTGCTTTCCACAGCTGAGCTCAGGAGTTTTCAAAGCCACATCGTTAATACTAGTACAGGACTTGGTGTAGAAGAATTTTCCCGCATTTTCGTCTACTGTCACGAAAATGCGTGGTTGATCATGTGCATATTTCCTCACGATGTGTTTCAGGTTCCTGTAACCTCAGATTTTTCTATGGATGTCGATGCACTAGAAGCTATGATTGCTGAGGACAAGTAAACGCATTCGTTTTTCCCGGATTAATAACTAATGCAGGGTTTTCGAGTTTTTCGATGATTAATAATTAATTCGAGTTTTTTCCGGATCAATTAACCGGAGCAATACAAAATTTAATTTCGAATTTTTCCTTTTTTTATTTTTTCCCGAATTTAAAAAAATACGGTCGTCAGTTTCGAGTCACTTCCGCAGAATATCTTCATAGCATTTTTGAAAAAATGTAGTGTTTTGCCAGAATCTTTGGTAATTTTCCCAAAAATTTCTCGGAAAAATGCTCTCTTTCTTCAACTTTTTCCAGAAATACTTAGTTCAGTGAATTATCCTTCAAGTTTCGAAGAAATGGCGAATCAATAGAAAAACACTGTAGAGGGTTTTTGCGACTTCTACCTTTTTTCAGATCACAGTCGTGCATACCAGCGCTGTGCATCGCCTCATTCGGTACAGAACTCACTGGAGTAGTTGACAATATTAAAGCTATTGGCCAGATGTACGTGTGATGAAAATATCGGGATCAACCTCAGATAACAGTGTTGAAAAATCTTGTTGATTCCCGAAGTCACATTTTGGAAATTGATGCATGCTTGGGCAACGAAAATTTCCTAATTCAAAATCACGAAATAATTACGATAGTTTTGAAAAATAGTCACTTTCTGCGTAGTTGATCGAATTCGTGTACACCGACAGATGCCACCGAGAAGCATGTGGTTTCACGTCGATGCTTCCTATGGTGGAG